GTTGTCAAACCAAAATCTGCTATGTGCACTTTTTGAGATTTGTACTTTTTGACCTTTTCATATAGTTCACAGCCCTGTCTACCGTATAAAAAAACTGTTATAGCTTTAATATTTATTTAAAGCTTTCGTTTGATATATAGGTAGTTCTTAAAAATTCAACTTCATATAAAATTTTATACAAAAATGTTTTTACTCGTTAATTCAAAATAGGGTTTTGCACATAGCAGATTTTGGTTTGACAGTGACGATATATAATTATAATACGGCTTAAGTCTTATATTTTATTGCATTAACAAAACGAAAACCGATATTCATTTGCTAATGATAATCACTAGTCATTTTAAAGTTTATTTTTCGTGAATGCTCAAGCTAAAGCGAAGACAGCTGACGGGCACATCAGCCGAGAACATTATTTCAATTACATTGCTTGCAGCACTCGAACATTACTGGAATAAGTTTTAAACCATCAGTATAACCGTGTAAAGGATCAGCGTTTTCGTTTTAAGGAACGCCATCCTGCGGTAGATGATAATGACAATTTAGAAGTCTACAAAGTCGTTTACGGTTTAGAAGTATTTTATGTGATTCCTTAATTCGTTCGAACCATTTTTGTAGTTGAAATGTGGAAAGTTCTGGAGCATTCATAATGAAATTTCTATTGTTTAGCCGATTGGCCTTGTCCCTGACATTGACAATGAGAGAAGCTGATCTTTAACCGTATGGTTGGCAGTAAGACGACCACCCTCGGATAGCAATCATAAAATTATTAATTTAAAGATCCTGTTAGATGTAGATATTTTGTTCGCTCATCTTCATTTGATCTAGAAAGTTATCTCTGATCACAGCCATTTCTTAAGAAATGTATTTCTGTTCAGCGGGCTTCCATTACAAGTGAAGAGCACTGTTTTAGAAATTAATCTTGTTTATTATCGTTTTTAGCACATCCGTTCAGGTTCCGAAGATTTGTCTTGTATGTTTTTATTGTGAATGAACAGATAAAATGACAGTCTGGAATCGAGCATGTTTTGAACCTCGAGATTAATGTGAAATTCTCCATTGAATTGGATCCGCCATGCAACTGAGTAGGCAGAAATTTGAAGCCAAAGTTGGAAAGTTGGTAGCCGAAGAGGCTATTACAACTACGCAAGGTTTGGTAGGTGAGCTTACAGAGCTTAATCTAGGAGTTGTTAACACTAGCCCTAGCAAGAGCAGCGCTTCGCTGACTCTACCCACCAGATCTGCCGAGATCTGCTGAGAAACTCAGTGGGTTACGGATTATAGGGTAGTTTGCACGAGGATATCAACGAAAACGGTGATCGGTACTTGGAGTGCCTAAAATCACCGAAAGTGGATTATGAACACCCCATAGAGTATGCTTAGGCTTTGGGCAAAATATGCAGACTCCAAATCCTTCTAAAACATAAACGAAAAATTATAGCTACCTCTCTATTTACTAAATTTATTTATCCTGTTAGCTAAATGCCTTCAAAAGTATAGTATAAGTGATGGTTACCGTCAGAATTCACGAATGTCGAAAAACAGGAATCGTTGGGTACCGTGCAATGAAACTTAGCTCATTTACCGGTCTGCCGGGACCAAATGAACTGAAGCCAGCAAGATACGGCCAAGACTAATTTTCAATTAAAACTTCATCAAAGTTGGCCCTTGAGTTTGGTCCAAAGTAAATCCGAATACTGGTACACATTGGCGGAGATGTTTGTTGAATAAACAAACCAAATGGTCCGTACGTTGAACTGTAGGTAATTATTGCAGTGTACACGTTATTCAATTCAAATAAATAAAAATTTAATTTACATGAAATTTTTTTTATTACTTAGATGGGTGGACGAGCTCAAAGCCCACCTGGTGTTAAGTGGTTACTGGAGCCCATAGACATCTACAACGTAAATGCGCCACCCACCTTGAGATATAAGTTCTAAGGTCTCAAGTATAGTTACAATGGCTGCCCCACCCTTCAAACCGAAACGCATTACTGCTTCACGGCAGAAATAGGCAGGGCGGTGGTATTCACCCGCGCGGACTCACAAGAGGTCCTACCACCAGTAATTACGCAAATTATGATTTTGTGGCTTTCATTTTTATTACACGATGTTATTCCTTCACCGTGGAAGTCAATCGTGAACATTTGTTGAGTACGTATTTCATTAGAAAAATTGGCACCCGCCTGAGATTCGAACATCGGTGCATCGCTCAACACGAATGCACCGGACGTCTTATCCGTTAAGCCACGACGACTTCAAATTACATTTAGATTTAGAATAGTTTTGATTTTGTCATGGCCTGAAGGATAAGACGCCCGGACGCATTCATATCGAGCGGTGCAAATGAGTCGACGTTCGAATCCCCCAGGAAGGTACCAATCAAAATACGACTTAGTATATGTTCACGAACTACTTCCGCGGTGAAAGAATAATATTCTGTAATAGAAATCCAACCAGCAAAAAATTTTATTTGCGTAATCACTAATGGTAGGTCGTTTTGTGGACCAGCACGGGCAGATACCACCATCTTAACGGCTTCTACAGCGAAGCAGTAACGCGTCCAGATCGAAGAGTGGGTCAGCTTCACTATACACTTTAGACACAGACCTCATTTCTCAAGCTGATTGGTCTACAGGATTCGGTACTAAACGAATATCAAGTAGATTGTATAGGTAGAGAGGGAAAAGGTCAACGGAAGAAGATATGGATGGAGAGTGTAAATGACGATAGAGAGGAGTGAGTGGTTGAGATGACGGCTGATAGAAGAGAATGGAATAGAAAAATTCGCCTTATCGACCACACCTAGTGGGATAAGGTGGAGACAAAGAAGAATATATCTATACTTCTATATTATACTTATACATATAGAGAATAAATTGTTTTTAAAACCCGTATCGGATATGCAATCCGACTTCTATATCTTATCCTTCCTTCCTAATATCTTGAAGCTTATCACTTGGACCATAAGCGTGCAAGCGATAGAACAACTCAACTTAATACGGCGCCTATGTTACGAAACTTGAATAAGTGCGAACGAATGGTTAATCAAACTCATCTTTAAAGAAATACATATCGTAGCTCCTGGGAAATCATTAACAGGGAGGGAGAATTAATTATATTCACACTAGTTAGTGTACAAGTTGTACAAAACTTTAAATTTATAAGTAATACTTTCATCATCATAATCGGTTGCTCTTGGCAGAGCAGTCGTGGTCATGTGGAATTCTTGCTTATTAAAGCCTTGACAGATATTTTCCATAGTTTGCGAAACGAGGCCTGGCGCACACACTCGTTAAGTGGAGTTTCAGTAAGGTCTCTCATCTGATCAGTCCAGCGCATGGGAATCGTCCACGAGATCTTTTACCATTGACCCTACCCTGAACAACAAGTTTCTCGATAGACTCTGCTGGCCGTCGCGATACGTGTCCAAAATAACGAAGAATCCCGGATTGCACTGTTGACGACAACCTTTGAGAGATATTTAGTTCTTTTAGGATCGAGGCGTTGGTGCGATGCTCAGTCCAAGATATACGGAGCATCCTTCTCCAGCACCACATTTCTAATGCATCGATCCTTCTTCTACTATAGTAATCTTTTCTACTATACAATCTTTTTTACTATAGTAATCTTCTTCTACTATAGAATCTTTTTTACTATAGTAATCTTCTTCTATTATAGTAATACAACAGTAATCGTTAAATTAATGACATAACATATCTCCAATATACTGTAGCAACTCAAACCTCAACTTGTACCTAGATGTTAAAACGCCAGAGATTTACCTCTAAATGCCAAAGTAATAGAAAAGACGCGTAGAACAACTCACATTTCCAATTTGTGTTTTTTTTTCTTTCTTTTTTTCAAAATCACTTAAATTATAATAATTTTAATGGCAATATTATTGTCTTGCTTACGATTAATGCTAAATAGCTTACATATATTTTTTTTTATTGCTTAGATGGTTGGACGAGCTCACAACCCACCTGGTGTTAAGTAGTTACTGAAGCCCAAAGACATCTACAACGTAAATGCGCCACCCACCTTGAGATATAGGTTCTAAGGTCTCAGCATAGTTACAACGGCTGCCCCACCCTTCAAGCCAAAACGCATTATGCTTCACGGCAGAAATAGGCGGGGTTTTGGTACCTACACAGTTTGCCTGCACTAACGTTCCTGAATTATTATTTTTCAATTTCAAATAAAATGACATTGAAACGAAGATATGTTCAACGATTCTCAAATTCAATTTAAAAACTTAATGTTCCATTTTCGAGATGTTCAATGTCGAACGCACGTGCTCGCGACATATTGGATAGATCTTGTCGGCGAGTGTGACGTCATGAGTGGTCGCTTCCGCCGGAATTGGATTTCTGTCCGGCTTCGATACTACGCGTCAGTTCCGGATCGTCGGTACATTTTTCGATAAATTTTATTTTATGGTTGCTTATAAACGGCGCGAATTATTTTAAACTATTTATTCTTTATTATTTAATTTTAATAATTTTCATTCCTTCAGAACTGAAAATCTTGAGAAATTATGCCCCGGGAAAGGACGAAGATTCCTGAAAAGTATACGTATAATGTATGAGGGTTTTGTTGGTGTCATAAACTGGATATAGTTAACCGTTTGACTGTCATGTAGGTCACCGGTGTCCTACGCGGCGCACTCAAGTTATTATGTCGATTTCTGTTACTAACGCGCCGGAATTTCCAGTAGTCTCTGGAGTGGCTAAGGCGAAGATACTGAGAATGAATCTATTTCTATCTCTTAGTGACCTAAAAGACTGAAGCGTACATTAGTCGTCGTGGCCTAAAGGATGAGACGGCCGGTGCATTCGTTTGCAACGGTGTTCGAATGTGTGTACCCGCCTGAGATTCGAACACCGGTGCATCGCTCAACACGAATGCACCGGACGTCTTATCCTTTAGGTCACGACGACTTCGTAAAATGATCGTTATTATTCTGTGTAATTATAATGTCTGTTGTTTGTTGCACAGCGCGAGGGAGCGGCTCGCAACGATGCGGAGCGCGAGAGGCGGGCGCGCGGCGACTGGGAGGCGAGGGCGCGCGCCGCCGAGGCTGATGCTGCGAAGCTCGCCGGGAAACTCCACGCTGCACAGAGGGAGATTACCAGGTAATTCCTCAATATTTAAACACACAAACAAACGTTTGTTTGACATGTAGTCTCTCGATACAATGATATCCTTCAATTAGATATTCGCGCAGGTAAACTTTGATCATAATATCGCCATCGTCGATCGTCATATGCACGTTCTTAAGAGCTTGAAAGGAAGGTAATGGAACTCTTGAATTATTTATAGTCAACTCGTAAAATTTCTATTTATTCAATATCTACTTGTTGATACAGATAGGTCTCATTACACGCGTTTTTGTAATAAAAATCGTAAGGTTTTGTAAGAGCCGTCGTGGCCTAAAGGATAAGACGTCCGGTGCATTCTCTCATCATTATCGAGCGATACACCGGTGTTCGAATCCCACTGGCAAGTACCAATTTTTCTAATGAAATACGTACTTACGTAATGTTCACGGTTAACTCCCACGGTGAAGGAATAACATCGTGTAGTAAAAATGAAAGCCGCAAATTTTTCATTTGCGTAATTACTGGTGGTAGGACCTCTTGTGAGTCCGCACGGGTAGGTACTACCACCCTGCCGTATGCCAACAGAAAGTGAAGTCGTCGTGGCCTAAAGGGACGTCCGGTGCATTCGTATGTAGCGATGCACCGGTGTTCGAATCCCGCAGGCGGGTACCAATTTTTCTAATGAAATACGTACTCAACATATGTTCACGATTGACTTCCACGGTGAAGGTATAACATCGTGTAATAAAAACCAAACCCGCAAAATTATAATTTGCGTAATCACTGGTGGTAGGACCCCTTGTGAGTCCGCGCGGGTAGGTACCACCACCCCGCCTATTTCCGCCGTGAAGCAGTAATGCGTTTCGGTTCGAAAGGTGAGGTAGCCGTTGTAACTATACTGAGACCTTAGAACTTATATCTCGAGGTGGACGGCGCATTTACGTTGTAGATGTCTATGGGCTCCAGTAACCACTTAACACCAGGTGGGCTGTGAGCTCGTCCATCCATCTAAGCAATAAAAAAAAAAAAGAAAGGGCCTTTTGTATTCATTAAAACATCGCTCCGTTTCACTCTCGTAAATTGCCAAAAAAATATATATGTAATCGTTTTTCAGTATTTACGCGATAATAATATCGATAAGCGAACGTTGTATCGTTTAAATTAATGAGCCGTTAATATCGATGTACCGAATCGATTTAGGGGCGTGTTCCAAATAGTGGTGTTGGAAGTGATTGAATTAATATTCGAAAATGTACAATGAATAAGGCTTTTTAAAATTAAAAGCATCTGTTTTATTTTTATTTTAACGAAACCAATTTTGATTTAACGTTCCCATGAATTTGATAGAGTCGTACACTCGTATTTGAGAAAAACTTTTCCAGGAGATGTTTATACCATAAATGTGTTTTATTAACATTAAAAAAAGTAATCTTCGACAAAAGTGTACCTTCGGCCTGTCTCGTGGTACAATACAGCAGAGCTAGTTGTGATGTGAAAGAAATTCATCTATCTCACCGAAGGCTATCAAGCGGATGGACTCTGTCTACCCTTTTCCGGGATCGGATGTCAGATAGTCAACTGCTATACAAAACCAACACCAGTATGGCGGCGCAAAACAAAGTTTGTCGTGATTCGAAAAATGAAAATTTCCAAATTTATTATCGGCATTCCACGATCTTTCTGGACGATATCGTTTCCAATTCGTTAATTATCGAACTCGAGTTCCGTTTTTACCGGGGAGCCGTGTAATCGGGCCGTTGTCATTGGAAGGCCGATAAGGACCCGCCCGATTGGACGATAGGCAGTAACTCCGTTCGAAATACGAACTTCGGGATTTACGGGTTACCGATCCGGTTATGGATCTGACCCAATTTGTTCCCAACAGAATTGAGCGGGATTGAAATTTTTTTAAGTAATTTATTAGGATTCCGTTTTTTTTTTTTTCATAATTTTTGCAAGTAAGAAATTTTGGATTTTATTAATAAAGAGGCATGCATTTTATCGGCATTTTGTCCTCTGGCTTAATCGTTTAAGAGTGTTCGAATTTTTTATGTCGATTATGAACTCAAAATTTATTGGTCATGGAAATAGCATTAGAATATTATCGATTATATACCATCGATTCGTCTCTATTTCCAAACATAAAAAAAAAAAATTCCAAACATAATAAAAAACCTTTTCAAATTACGTAACGGTTTCCGCTCTGTACACTAAAGTAACTTAAAGTACACTAGAAAAACATAAATAGAAATTTTATTATGTGTCGTGTTCGATGATTACTCGTATTTTTATCGCGTCCTTATTCGTGGTAACCGATAAAAATGTAGTGAAAACAAAACACTAATCAGTAAAAATACGCTGACTGAATTTGAGAATACAATCCCAAATAAATAAATAAAAATACATTTAAATTTAGAATTCATTGCCAGCCCTACGTGAATTACATTTCAAATGACAAGTACCTATTGTAAAACAGCTACTTCCTAAGTAACTTGCTTCTAGGTACCTCAAGCACTGGTTACCGTTCTCGTCGAACCCATTGCTTGCGACGAAGGGTTTGGCGAGCATATTAACCCTCAGATACAGTTCACTGAGTTTCACCGGAACTTCTCAGCGGACCGCGATTCCGATCTGCTAGTAGATTCTGCGAAGCACTGCTCTTGCTAGGATTAGTGCTAACACTAAAAATTAGTTGCTAACAACGTCCTTAGGTTAGAGCCTATGGGTTTACCTACTAATTCGGCGAATCTAGTATGCCCCACGAGGTTATTAGAAAAAGCAGGGAAAAAAAGGCATTCACTCAATTTTCACATATCACTTACTAAGTTGTAATGTACTGGTGAGTCTATGCGGGGGTATCTAAGAGCATTACTTTTGTTTTTGGCGGGAACGCGAGGAGTGAAGTTGTGTAATTTGTTTTATTTTGTCCATTTAATGTTTCTTCAGGCTTAAATGTGTAATAGCGGTGGTTCATTAACTGTTTAGTGTCTGTGAAAGTGCACAAATGTGGGAAATCAAAGCCGCTGAACGTAACTTCTCGGGATCCTCCAAAAAGTCAACGGAAAAGTCTCAGTAAATGACCACCATTTTACTGAGATTATACCTATATTTCATACCATATCATCTCATTTCATTTCATTTCATGCCATGGTTCATATTAATCAACTTCAATTCACTTCACTTCATATTATCATTTTGTTTCAAAATAAGAATGTAAATTAAAATAAGACTTGAACTAAAGGTCTTAGTTACCAGGTCATGAAATCCCTTAAAAGAAAGCATTACTATTCTCTAAAAGCGGGAATGTGACCCCCTAAGTTACCAGCCTAGGTAGACTGACTGACTGCTGCTTAAAATACAGGTTTTATCACATAGTTCAAGTACAGATGCAAATTATGATTGTGTTTCAACTTCTGTGTGAAAAAAATAAATCGTCCATCACCCAAATTCCCGGGTAATAATGGCATTCAATGTAATAGGGATCGGTCTCGTTCGAACCGTGAGCGTCGAATTTATACAGTGTCAATCACAAATCTGCTGTGGGAGCCCGCATCTGGTGGCGCTCGTCCTTATTTTTGTCGGGCGCTCATATCGGAACAGGGCCGGATTTAGGAAGGAACACAACTATCCAAAACGGCTATTTCTTATTCATTAAAATTTGGGTCGTGACAAATAAAACTGTTTCGCTGGATAGTAGATTTATTGTTCTCATACCAAATCTTTTATTAACAATTAATTGACACTTTTATAGACCTCTCACTCAATCGTTTTCGCCATCTTGCTTTTTCTTTTATGGTTTTTGTTTCATTCATACCATTTTCTCCCACTCACACTTTAATAATTCGTTCCATATTATTTTCATACGCTTTTTTTTTTAATGCTTAAATTGATGGACGAGCTCACAGCCCACCTGGTGTTAAGTGGTTACTGGAGCCCATAGACATCTACAACGTAAATGCGCCACCCACCTCGAGATATAAGTTCTAAGGTCTCAGTATAGTTACAACGGCTACCCCACCCTTCGAACCGAAACGCATTACTGCTTCACGGCGGAAATAGGCGGGGTGGTGGTACCTACCCGTGCGGANGTTCCACGCTTTTTCATACGTTTCGTTCTTGCTCATCTTAAATGAATTCATGTTTAATGGTGAATACAGCTAAGTTTTTTTTTTGCTTTAACTGGTGAACGAGCTCATGGCTCACTTGAGTTTAAGGTTTAAAACCCAAACAACATATATTATTTTAATTTCATATTTGTCTTTTCGTTGAACATTGTCTATTGCACCATTGAAAGCATATTACCTGTCAATAAACCGGGATTATATAAGTAGCCTCCCCCACCCTGGCAGTCCTGAATCCCGCACCTGCAAGTGAAAATACGAGAAAAACAAATTGAATTCGTCAAAATATTTCCCGGGGCGAGATAAGCTGATTATTGCGGTCTAAAAAACACTGATACCGTTTGTTTGTTGTAAGCTTTGAATGAGTTTTGTTCGCGGATGCATGAACGTGGATTTTTTTTTCACTTTAGTTGGCTTCGTTATTTTTTTTTTCTTCTTCATAATAAGTACAGAGTAATGAATGAATTAGAAATCACTATAGTACGAGGCGTGTGTTAGAACTGTTTTTTAAGGGATTTTATGTCCTGGTAACTAAGACCTTTAAGTCATGTCTTATTTTAATTTATATTCTTATTTTTACAAAAAATGATTTTATGGAGGGAAATGAAATAAAATGAAAGGAAGATGATTAATTTGAGACATTAATCAACTGGGACGAAATTAAATGAAATGAGATGATATGATATGGGATGAAATATAATCTCAGTAAAATGGTGGTCATTTACTGAGATTTTTTCAGTGGACTTTTTTGAGGATTTAGAGAAGTTACGTCCAGCGGCTTTGTTTCATTTTCCCACATTTGTGCACTTTCACAGATATTAAACAGGTAATAAATCACCGTTAGGTATTACACATTTAAACCTGAAGAAAAACTAAATATACAAAATAAAACAAATCACACAACTTCACTCC